GAAGCTCTCCCAGTCAGTTTTCTTATTAGTCAATATTGGATTGAACTCTTTTTTAATCACTGTATCACTCATAGTTAGAATTATCGGTGAGTGATCAGAGTTTATGTCCCAGCCGTCACTGATATCCAGATAGTTAGCTGAGATATTTTTGTAAATAAAGAAATCTATCAGGTCTGGAATTTTGTTCCTATCGGTAGGCCAGTATGTTGGTCTACCAGTAGAGATTACTTCACCCTTTTGTTCCTTAACAGCTGACAATAGTTCTTTTCCTTTAGTTGTAGTTAGCCTAGAGCCCCAGTGGGTATTTTTTGCATTAAAGTCCCCACCGATGATGTATCTTTTTCCTAAAGTGTTCATAAACTCTTTATATTGCTCTCTTTTAATGGAGTGTCTAGGAGGACAATATATTGAACTTATATTTAAGGTATGTGTTTTCATCTTCACACAGACTGTTGTAGCTTGTATGTGCTCAGTTGCATATTTTAATTCCTCATGATGCAAGATGTTATCTTTAATTATAATAGCGCTTCCTCTTTTAGCTGCATTATCTGGGTGTACAGTAGAATATACTCTATACCCCCTCAATTTAACATATGACTGTTTAGTGAAGTGTGTTTCAGAAACGAGACACAGATCAATTTTCTTAATATCTAGTACTGCTTGCAACTCGATCTGATGTTGTAACAGTCCATTTGCGTTCCACGCCATTATTCGGAGGTCTTTAGTAGTGTAAAACTTAAGTCGTGAAATTGACCATAAACTCTGTTATCGATATATACCCATAAAAACATAATTTGCGGTCAGAAGTCAATTAGATAATCAAACAGGCCAGGCGGACGAATCGCATTCACTTCACTGTGAATGATTTAGTGGTCCATGATTTGGAGCGTGGCCAGAAGTAAGGCCTCCCCCAAACAAAAATGCTTGAGCAGTATCCTAACACGTGACGGGGACTTAGCGTGCGTTCATGACGGAGACTATCGCATCGTATCCTCGCCTAGAGCATAGCACTAACAGTGAACGCTCGAATTTAAAATAAAATGCATTTATTTTACCTGGCATCGATACGATGGTCGCAGCGGGGCTCGGTGGTCAGTATCTCGTCGATCATAGAGTACTAGAGAAAAGAATCGAAAAAATACTAAGCTAGAATACTATGGTCCAAGTCCATGGTCTGATACCTCGCTCGAGAATGTGCGCTGCGCTTTGACAACGAACGCTGGAATTTTTAAAAAAATACATTTATTTTACATGGCGATGATACTATGATACCATCCTATGGTCCGACCGAGGGTCGGCGCCTCGTTATAAACGCACACTTAAGCTCAATGTAACTTACTCCAGAGATCCCTACAGGACAAGCGTGTACGCTAAAATATCGACATATAGATAAATTGCAGTATTCTATTCTAATATGCTAAGTGCTCCTTACGTAAAGGTATCTGTGATCTAATTAACATTTAGAGTATACAGATTGAACGAAATAAATTCGGAACATACGAAACATTATGTATTTCGGCTCAATTCTGCTGTAGGTGGTTGGTCAACAAAAGGTTGTCAAATAATTATATTATAAAAATCCAATACTTCAGCGGGCTGTTGGATTCTGAACTAACTCAAGAACTCATTCATAGGTGGTCAAACCACCTATCGCTTCCTAAAGCCGGCCACTCACGGTACAGCGGTGTCGTTCGATATAATCGGACAGAGGCGTTGTTCAATTTTTTGGTATATCTGGTGCGCCCACACACCATATTGCGCCGCAGTATTTGTTCTGTTCTCGACCATGTCAAATCAAACAATCATTTTAGCATCCCTTACTTTGTGTATAACTAAGCGTAAAAAGAAACCTAAAATAAAACGTAGATTCTGATGCAAAGAATCCAAGATTTTGGTGCAAAATAAATCTCGTCTGCCCCTGCACCCTGGATGTTCTAAAATTGTTAATTTTTTTTCTTACATACTATTCATTCGCACCTTTGTTTACTTCTTGGAACTTTAAAACCTTTTATTCGCTATAAGCATATGTTTCGATTACCATTTCGATTTTCTATAATATGATCAAAGCAAGTGTGTAGTTAAAGTATCGTGAGTGGCCGCCTTTAGGCAAGCCCCTCTTTCGTTTTTCGAAGATGAAGATTTTGAGCGGTGTTGCTAATATCATTCCACTAGATGTTTCTAAAATAACTACAAACTTCTGAAATAACTAGAAACCATTAAGTTTATTTTTGTTATTAGTCTGTTGTAGTTGATTGGTAAATACAATGAAAAATATAGGCAAATATCCGATTTATTTAATAATACGAAGAAGATATAAGTTTCAAAAATATCCGCAAATCGGATTATTACACGGCGATTGGCAACATTGACTTTGAGCTGCGCTCTAGACTATGGTGGGTTCTAAAAGGAGACGGATAGTTGAACGATATTTTATTGAATGTCTAACACCGTGTATGGATTTATTTTTGTCTAAGTTTTATATTGGTCCACTATTTCAAATGCAGTTCAAACAGACATATATTAAATTGTACGATCCGTTTTAAATTCGTTCAATATAAAGTCATTATTATTATTATTATCCAACCCTATTTAGAGTTTTAGGATGTGGTTCGTGTGATATAATGCTTTTAAAGTTAATCCTGAGGATGTTAATTGCAGTTGAAATTTTGAATTATTGGCCAATTAGAAATTGTTTGTTTGTATCAAGCTTGAATTATCAAAATTTTTAGTACATTTAAGAAATTATTGTTAAGTAAGTCCTTTTCTTTTATCTCATTAGCTCTCAGATAAATTTTGGATTTACTTAGGGAACGGCAGTTCATTTCTTTTTCACGCTTGTCCTAGGTGAGTTTAGCCTTAGATATTTCAACTATCTAAGGTTATCTTTTTTTGTAAATATTATCTTAATGATCGTTGCCCTAGGCCTTAACGTCCTGTTGTGCGTAAAAATAAATAAATCTTAATGGTTTTATTGGGGATAACCGTAAATCAGATATTTTTTTGGTACTTGTATTTATCTAATTCAGATCCAGTTTAATTATATCTTAGAGGATATTTTGGAACTTTCTGTCGTAGGTATAACGATAGATCGCAACTTGTCAAATTGCATATATATTAATATACTACTAGAACCAAGATGAGAGTCAACCTAACTCCTTTTTATGGATAACCTCTATCTGTCTATCCTCTATCTAACCATCTCTGTCGTTGAGATAGAGAAGATGTCTAACCATATTGCCTTCTCTACCTTTATATGGACGAAGTAGGTATGCTATCCACTTGCATATCGTGCTATCTACCTCTCTTTAATGTAGTTCTCTTATTTCTATTTCATGTAAAGTCCCTTCTTTATATAGAAAGGTTCACTCCGTATTCCTTTTTTTCCTTTATTTCATTAATTAAATAATTGTATCAATATGGTTTTAATCAACATTGTACTTGTTACGTATGCTAACAGAAATTCAAGGACCTCTTTAACAAAAGATGGATAATTTATTATAAATTGATAATGTAGAATTTTTTCCAATCAGCCAACATAATTTCTTATATCTAATATCAAGCTCCCCTCTTTTCTTTTTGACATGGACTTTCCAGCGCAGCTTCGCATTTAGGGTGATGACCAAGTATTTTGCTGATGTTGCATAAAGAATTCGGGTATCATTTATTCTAACTGGGAAATTTTCTATTTTTTTATTTGTAGAGTTAATGTCTGCAGATCTAGTCTCATTTAATTTTATTCGCCATGTTCTGGTCCAGTTATGTATTTTTTTTATTGATATTTGTAACTTATCAGTCGCTTCTTCACTAGTGTCTCCTATCGCTAGTATGGCTGTATCATCCACAAAGGTGGCAATAGTATTTTGTTCTAGCTCTGGAATGTCATACGTATACAATAGGTACAGGACCGGACCTAAGACACTCCCTTGTGGCACGCTAACTTTGATCTCCCTTAAGTCGGTGTACACTTCTTCTTGTTTTACTCTAAAATATCTATTCGCAATGTATGATTTCAAGATTTCTGAATACTGTTTAGGCGTGAAAGTTCTTAGTTTATAGTTTAAACCGTCATGCCAGACTTTATCAAACACCTGTGCGACATCCAAGAAGATTGTAGAGCAGACTTTATTTTCTTCTAATGTTTCTTCTATTATATTCGTTATTCTGTGAACTTGATCTATAGTGAAATGTTGATTTCTGAAACCAAATTGATCATTTGGTATAAAAATTTTTCTTTCTATTATTGGTTTTAGTCTTTTCAATAGAAGTTTTTCAAATAGTTTTGACATTACCGGAAGGAGTGATATTGGTCGATAGGATGTCACTTCATTAAGAGATTTACCTGGTTTGGCGATCATAATCACTTCGGCTACTTTCCAGAGTCTAGTAATATATCTCAATCTAAGAGCAGCATTTATTAAATGTGTCAGCTTAACTACGGCTTTTCTTAGTAGATTTTTTAATAATACTCCTGTTATAAGATCATATCCTGAAGCTTTCTTAGGATTTATATTCTTTTTTATCTCTGTTGATACTTCTCTAAGTGATGTCAACGTTATTCTTTCTTCGGTTTGGAATGGTTCTTTTCATCCAAGTTCTTCATTATCATTGTAGTTGGGTTTGAACGTGCTTTCTAAATGATCTGTAAATCGTTCTGCTTTCTGTTTCCTATCGACAGGAACGAGGAATTTTGTATTTTTCTTCCTAATTTGCTACAAAATGCAATCGCTAAGTAAATGCTTGGTCCTAATTTGTACACATTAACTGTCACAATATATTTTATAATAAGACTCGTGGGTGACGCGTACAGATTTCAATTATTTCTGTCGGTTTGTATATTTTAAAACCGAATAAATAGTCTTTTGCATTTGTACTCTTCAGTCAACAGAGTCCCTCGTGAAAGTCATATTAACCAAAAATTAAAAATATCTGGTGAAAAACTCATATGGTTCTTGAAACAATTATTTTTGCATCGAGCAATACCTGTTTATGATGTTATAGCTATGAAAGGAGATTCTCAGAAATTATTAAGTTATGTAACAGTCCTGGGTGGACGTAGTAACTCTGGGCTTCTATTTTTAGCTCGAAGATCTTGGGGTTGGTTTAATTTTAAAGAGTAACTACACTTTATGATACATTTCAATATTTACTTATTCTATAAACCAGATCATTGACCTCTACAAGTATCTAGAAAAATCTCAATCTACTACCACTTTTTTATATTCCTTAGAATTCCAAAACAAACCAAATACTTGTTTAGTTTAGTTCAGACTAAACATAAAAAACTTATTTACTTGCGTTTGATATAAAATTCAAATAATTTATACTAGAAAATAACTTTTTTTTTCAGAATGCTTCAGAGAGCTGAAGAAACAAACTACATCAACATCAACTGCGTGGATCCTCTCGGCAGAAGTGCCTTGTTGATGGCCATAGACAACGAAAACTTAGAAATGGTGGAATTGTTAATTGAACATCGCGTGGAGACCAAAGATGCACTTCTGCATGCCATCTCTGAGGAATTTGTAGAAGCTGTTGAAGTTTTACTCGAACATGAAGAGACTATTCATCGAAAAGGGGATCCACACGTAAGTTGAAAATGTTTTGTAAGATGTATAACCAACAAGTTGTTGATTGCATGTTGTGTTTATAGACTTATAATACAAATAGACTGAATTCTGCCATACAGGAGAACGCGTCTATATGGTAGCACTCTACAGTAGTCTATTTGCAGTCCCTCCATCTCTTTCTAATGAATTGGGTGTATCGACCACGTAACCTTGTGATTGGTCATTTAGGTCAAGTGTTCGATAAACCTGGCAAATTAGAAAGAGATAGAGGAACTGCTTTGCCTAAGATTTCACTGTTGCATTGGGGAAACGAGCATGTATTGCAGCTGTTAGTTTATTTGTGTTATATATCTTGGGGTTTTTTTATATTGTATGCATATGGTTTTTAATTTTTGAAATAGCTCTTTTGAAAACGATTTTTAGAGTAGAAAGCGAAACGTTAAACATTAGTTAGTCATTAATATTATAATTATTACAATGATTTGCGGCTTAATCCTATATAAATATAATATTTTTTTGGGTATATTATGAAACACTGTTAACTGGATAAATGATCTAGTAAATATTCAGCTGTTGGTATTTAATATGAAAAATTGCCTAAAGATCTAAATTATGGTTGAGAATGATGTTCACAAGATAAAGAGAAAGAAATAAAGCAGGTACGGAAATTAAATATCAATAGGTGAAAAAAGAATTACCGACGAAATTCATTCAAAAAATAAAACTGTTAAGGAACATCTATAAACTACGTCGTAGAGAAGAGGAAGGAGGGGATTTTGCTTAATACGATGATATACGACAGGGGAGTGGGGAACATGAGTACAATTCGGCGTGGTTTGGTCTTATTAAACTTGTTATTATCCATATCAATATAATTTTTTACTAGCCCTTTTTATTCATTCGTAAATAGAGTTTTATAGTTCTTCTTCTTCCTCCTGGTATGTAGGCATTAAAGCCTATTTCTTCTTCAATATTAGCCTCATAAATTGTCTAAATTATCGCACCATCTCTTTCTTGGTCTACCAATACTTATTCGTCCATTTGGTGACTTATCTCGTGCTATTCGTACTATTCTATCCCCTTGTATTCTACTGATGTGTTCGTTCCACTCCTGTTTTCGTTTTGTCACCCATCCATTTATGTCTTCTATACTGCATACTCTTCTTATGTTTTCGCTTCTCTCCCTATCCAACAGACTTCTCCCAAATAATCGTCGGAGTATTTTTATCTCTGTTGTTTCTAGTAGTTTAGATGTGTCAGGTCTTGTCGTCGTCGTGTATGTTAATATAGGTCTAATTGCTGCTTTATAGATTCTTGTTTTTGTGTTCTGTCTAAACTGTTTCTTCTTCCAAATTGTGTCATTAAGAGATCCTGCCGCTTTACTTACTTTTAAGCTTTGTTATCGTACTTCTTCTTCAACCTATCCGTAACTAGTTACATCTATTTCCAGATATCTAAACCATACTTTCTGCTTTATTATTTTCCCATCAATTTCGATTTTACACCGTAGTGGGTATTTAGACTTTGTCATACATTTGATTTTTTTCTGCTAATTATATTATATTATATTTCTTAACTGCTATATTGAAGATACGTGTTAATCTTTGGAGCTGGTCCTTTGTCTCGGTGATTAATGCGGCATCGTCTGTATATCATAATACTTGGATTTCTGTATTCTCCATTATGTAGCCATGACCTTTACTTACTGCTTGTATTATTTCGTCCATTATTATATTAAAGAGAAGTGGGCTTAACGAGTCACTCTGTCTGACTCCGCTTTGTACTGGTATACACTGTGTTAGTTTTCCATTTATCTTTGCCTGTATTCGATTATGGAGGTAGATGTATTCGACGGTTTGTATAATGTTGATTGGTATATTTCTTTTATATAGTAAATGTAAGACGTCTTTGACTTGGAGGCGATCGAAAGCCTTTGTCAAGTCTATAAAACGTAGATATGCTGTTTTATTGTACTTGATGACCTTTTCTGTGATTTGTTTTAGTACAAATACAGCATCTACGCAGGACCTTCCAAGTCTGAATCCTTGTTGTTCGTCTGAAAAAATTGTTAGTTTATTGATTTCGTTGGTTAGAACTTTTGTAGTAAGCTTGAGTGCTGTGTTGAGTAGATTTATACCTATGTAATTGCTAGGCTCTTCTTTATTTTCTTTTCTGAACATTGGTATCATTATGCTATTTCTCCTTGCATCTGGTATCTTGGGTTATACTTTCTCCTACGTGTTGTAAAAGCTCGTTTGTTATTTCGTCTGGTCCTGGTGACTTTTTTTTGAGTAAATTTATGGCTATTTCTACTTCCTGAAAACTGATTTCTATTTCGTGTCTTAATTCAAGTACGTTATTGTGTTGATTATTTTTTCCTTTGCTTTAAACAGTTCCGTCATGTATCTTTCCCATTCGTTTGCTGGTATGTTCTGTTTTCTGTTTGCTGTATATTCCTTCAATTCTGCCATTTTTTTCTGTTGGTTTCTTATGAATATCCATATTTGTATGTGCTTGGAGTTTTATAGTTAATTTTAAAAAATCCAAAATGGCATTGAATATTTTTAAAAATTACTGAAATGTGTTTACTGTATATATGTCGACATGAGGGAGCGCCTCCACTGTTAAGGACGTTTTACGGCGAAGAGGAGAAAGGTATTAAAAATTCAACATTTTTTACGAGGTAGATTATGGATATTATCTTGTTACTTATACTTTAACAGTAAAAACACTTTGTTTACAATACTTGAAAGACATGCATGCTTTGTTTTTGACTATTTATTTAATACAAATAATTGGAACTAGGCAGATACGGAAAATCTTAAATATAAATCAAAAACATCAAATTTCACGACAATAACACCTTTGAAATGCAATTAAACAAGTAACATCAGCACGATATCTTGAAGGAACAGGAGCAATAGCAAGCATTTAGGAAAACTGGTTGCTAATTTAAAAACTATATTCAGCAGCAATCTAATTTTCGTTTATCCATTTATTTTATTTTACACCTCTAAATTACTGCAGTAGGTATAAATAAACTAAGACACAGACACGCACTAAGGGCACACAACAGGAATTCAATATGGATGTTCTGATACCACGATACCAGCGAACATAGAGGCATTGAAGCCTCTTAGTGTCTTAAAGGATATCTTTCGAAGTTTATAATATGCGTTGAAATGAGCAGCCCTTAATTCTTTATAAGATACCTTGTCAATCGTATAGACTAGGTTTTGGGCATCCTCTCTGATCATTACATTTTCTAACAGCCAGTCTTCTGCCTTAGGATTTTGATGTTTCCTCGTTGGACGGGTAGTGATGGTTTCATCATCAGTTTTTTTTTTGAGACATGCGGATGAGGACCATGGAGCGCTTGAGCATATTATTTGGAGCAACAAGTATTAAGTTTGCTTTCTCCCATAGGCCATCATAGTCACTCACCACCAACAACAAGGTCTCGTTCGCTAAACGATGTTTTATGGAACTGCAGAAGTTCATTCTGTCCTTCGATAGAAGCCTCATCAACTACTTTTCTACAACTACCAGTTTCTTAATGATCAGATCTGCTTCAGCAGGATCTAGTTAAGTGTGAGGATGGTGTTTGTGCTACCGCTATTATGAGTACTTTTGTTACGTTGCTTTAGGACCTAGTCTGCTCATTAAAGCCTCTTGGTTTCTTAGCAACTCGGTTGCGAGGGATGCGATGATATTCTCCCGATGTCTCTTTTTATCGTCGGGTGTTTCCGATTTGGTTTTCTTGGGATTTGCTATGATTCATTTCCCAGCAGCCATTTTTGCGTTTTTCTTCATTTTTCTTTGTCGAGACCCAAAGAGGCATTTTTGGAGAAACTCACTGATGTACATCAACACAATGGTTAATTGACATCTGTCACATATATCAACTAGCACATCCATTGCTCTGGGACTTGCGCACAGCTCATTCCGTTCGAATTTATTTAAACCGTTTGGAGGGGGTTAGCCACTTCGATATCCTTCAGCAGTGCATTGACGTCAGGACATAGATCATTTGCAGATTTGCAGGAATAAAATGAAATTGGTAAATATGGCACTTAGATCGATTAGCATTTTAGGTCCTTAATTTTAAACATATTTGGCAGATATATATCCAATAATGGCATACTGGAGATGCTGAAAAGTATTGATAATGACGTATTCACCCATTTTTCATTTTGTTTACTGAATTGACTTAAAGCTTTTTAACTTTTAAATTTATGTAAGTATTTTTTTAATGTTTTTTTATATTGATTTGTATATTTTGCATATAAAGACATGAATAATATTTAGCAATCATAGGATGTAATTTCTTTCAAATAAATTTTCTGTTCTGTTCTCTTTAGAGAAAATTGATATTTCGCTACAAAGCAGAATTTATATCAAGGTACTCTCATGCAGAATCTAGTGGCGCATCTCTGCATACATCTGAATAAATTTTAAAAGAGAATTTCCTACATAATGCAAAACGTTATTTAGAATCGGGATCGTATACATTTTGAGTATATCCCGTAGATCCACCCAAGTGAATTTTATGTATGGTATAATGCATATACGAGTGTAATAAATACGAGTACATTTTTTTTTAATTTTAAATACATCTATGTACATTGTTGTTTTTACATGTCAATCCAATAAAACAAATATATAATTGACGGATTGGACCGTTACTTGATGGAAATTAATTTTACATAACAATAAAACGTCCACAAAATTGTCCTCTTATCACTACAGCTGTTTCGACTGATTGCCTTTCTCAAGTGATCTATTTTTGGCATGCGTTTACACTTTATAGTCTCTAATGAAATAGGTTGAGGAGGGGAGAACTATTTGTCTCAAGCTGGTCCTTCAGAATTATATCTGAGTTTTTTAATTTGTCGATTTCCATAGATTCTAACAAAGATAGCTTAAGGCCTTTATTTTGAATGTGAAGAATTTTAAATTCGTCATTAAAGGAATGATTATAATATAGAAGCTGAAGTGCGTATGTATATCTGTTTTTC